TGTGGGGGATAATAGATACAATCGCGCCTCATTTAGCTATTATTTTTAATACTAGTATTGAATCTGGTATGTTTCCTGATTTAATGAAGTATAATAAAGTAATACCTTTATTTAAATTTGGTAGTACATTAGACCCCGCCAATTTTAGACCTATTTCTGTACTACCAACTCTTAGTAAGATTTTTGAAAAAATTATTCTTGATCAAATGTTAAATTTCTTTAATATTAATAATTTACTTCATAAAAATCAATTTGGTTTCACAAGGTGTCGCTCGACAACTGATGCCGGTGTTGGGCTGATTAAATATATATTTAATGCATGGGAGAATTCACAGGATGCTTTGGGTATATTTTGTGACCTATCCAAAGCCTTCGATTGTGTTCACCATGAAACATTAATCAGGAAACTTCAACACTACGGTGTAAGAAGTGATGCTCTTAAATTAATTATTTCATATTTAAGTAAGAGAACGCAAAAAGTTGTCATTAACAGTATGAGTTCTTCCGGGTCGATGGTACAAATGGACGTGCCTCAAGGCTCAATTCTCGGCCTCTTTCTGTTTCTTGTATACATTAATGACTTACCTTACATAGTAGGAGATAACCATGATATAGTATTATTTGCAAATGACACTTCTTTAATTTTCAAATTAAGTCGACAATTGCTAAAATATGACGAAGTAAATAATGCTATATCTAAATTAGTACATTGGTTCAATGTTAATAATTTCCATTTAAATGACACTAAAATGAAATGTATGAAATTTATGACTCCAAATGTCAAACAATTAAATACTAATGTAATTTTAAATGGGGAGAAACTGAGTCTTGTAGATACCACCATTTTTCTTGCAATCACACTAGACGCGAAGCTTCAATGGAGCCCCCATATATCGAAACTAGCAAGCAGACTTAGTTCTGCAGCATATGCCGTAAAAAAGATTAGAAGTCTAACTAGTGTTGAAACAGCTAGACTAGTTTACTTTAGCTATTTCCATAGCATAATGTCGTATGGTATTTTGCTATGGGGACTCGCAGCTGACACTGAAATTATATTTGTTTTACAGAAGAAGGCCATAAGAGCAATTTATGATTTAAAGCCTAAAGAGTCGCTGCGACAAAAATTTAAGGAAATTAATATATTAACTTTGGCCTCTCAATACATTTATGAAAATGTAATGTACGTACACAAAAATAAAAGATTTTTTACAAAAGTTAGTGATATTCATTCTGTTAATACTAGGAACAGACACAAGCTAGTAGTACCAGTTACTCGACTCCATCGAGTCAGTAATTCATTCTTGGGGTGGCGATGTATACGCTTTTACAACAAAATTCCAGAAAATATACAAAATTTGACCTGCTCAAAGTTCAAAAACTTTATTAAACTAAGTTTGTATAAAAAGGGTTATTATAATATTAATGAATTTATAGATGATAATAACCCCTGGAAATGAGGTGATCGCTACCAAGCTATTTCTAATTTGTTGTGTTGTTAATTTGTGTAACATACATGATTGTAAGCTGTTATTTAAAAAAAAAGTCCCGCTGGATTTCTTGCTGGTTCTTCCCAGGACAGAGGTTTTTTTTTCGAACCAGTGGTAATCATACAAAAGAGTGACTTTCAATAAGTATTATTTATAATCTATATTGAATAAAAAAGTTTCTGTTTCTGTTTCATAAGAGCCACTGCTGAACATAGACATCCTAGGAGGACTGGGCCATAGTTGACACGCTTGGTAGGTAGATTGTTATCAGTATACCTATACATGTGGCTAGAACGTATCAGTAATACCATGGAGTAGTGGTGTAAGAATATTTACTACCCCAAAGCGTCCCGAGGTTGTCGTAAGAGGAGGGAGAGGTAAAGAAGCTAGAAGAAAATAAGAAAACTGCGGTTGCAAAAATGCTTACCAAGCGTGGAAACTAAGACAAACATATGAGGCAATCTATAAGTGAGGCCTATGTTCAGCAATTGACTTTTGATAAGCTGTACGACGAGTATTGATGATGATAATAGGAATCATATATATATGGGAAAGATTTTTACGTGGTAGAGCCATTCTGCAGCTATATTAATAGTATAGTTGTAGCACGAATGGGTTGGCTCGACCGGGGTAGGACCACGCTCTCACAGAATACCAGCGTAAAATAGCAGCTTAACGCCGCTGTGTTTCGTATGGTGAGTGTAGAGAACCGGAGACCCTTTTTACTGGAAATGAGGCATTCCAGCTTAGTCCTCACGGGTGACAACGCGTCTGCATTTTGATTTGTAATAGAGGATAGATGTAGATTTTATACTTAGTAGAGCCATGCTGCAGCTATATTATGGTTGTAGCACGAATGGGTCGGCTCGACCGGGGAAGGACCACGCTCTCACAGAATACCAGCGTAAAATAGCAGCTTAATGCTGCTGTGTTTCGTATGGTGAGTGTAGAGAACCGGAGACCCTTTTTACTGGAAAAGAGGCATTCCATCTTAGTCCTCAAGGCTGACAACGCATCTGCATTTTATTCGCAAACAAGGATGGATGTAGATTGTCTATGGGCCACAGCAACCACTTACCATCAGGTGGACTGTGTGCTCGTTTGTCACCCTTATCCTGTAAAAAAAAAGAGATGCTGCCGCCCATTTCCTCTTTTAAATAGGTAGTAGATACCCACGATTTTACGGCACTTCCGGGATGTTATGTGGTAGTAAATTCTTCAGAAGACACTACACAGCGAATTAAACTAATATATACCTACTATTATAGATACAATTAATATTATAAGTACTATATTTTCCATTTTGGTGATATACAATATTTACCAGAGAAAACTAAAAAAAAAAAAACTGCGGCGCTGCAGCTAGTTTTTAAAATGTACTTAATTCATAGACTTCATATGTTAAATAACGAAATATGTAATACATTTTGTTAAGTACTCATAAACCAAATTTTAAGGACTTTAATGATTTATTTTTCCTTCATTCGATTAAGTCTTACAATAAAATGTTGTTATTATCCATTTAGCAATTCTACACAAGTGGTAAAACCATGTGACGGTGCTGTCGTCGCGCCACAAGCGAAACATATCGAGGCCTAAATCGCGCTAACAAAGTTCCGAAGTTAAAGGAATTTTGATTAGTACAAATATGATTCGAGAAAGCGTATAAATACCTACCAGTCCTTCTATCACATTGCGTGGTGCGAAGGTAAAGCGATACGGCTGGAAAATCGAATCAATAACCTGTTGTATTAAACTTAGTACCTACTTGGTTGTTAAGGGGTATGGGCCGGCTCTTTATGGGTTCGCAGGTAAAAGAAAACGGTGGTTAGCATTTGTAGTTGTATTAATTTTAAAAATTGTTTACAGTATGTAGATGTCTTTTAATGACATTTTGTTGGGACTAACTGCGAGTCGGCGATATTATCCCAAAGCGCAATAATAAAACTAAATATCGTAAAACTTTTATCGTTATCAGAGTATCTACTTACTTGTTCAGTCACTTTCATTGTTCACATTAGACGCAATATCATTGATAAACAAAAGACGGAAAAACACGGTACTTAGCAGCAAAAAGTGGAACAAAAAACTAGCGAATTATTCTACTCTTTGGTTTAGGTACAGTCGCGCAGTCGTGCTACCGTCTTGGTCTTGTACCTACATAGAATTATGTCTTGTATAATATGGGGTCGTCTATTAATCACGTGAGGCTCGAAAAATAAAAATCTTAAAAATGCTAAAAAACACGTAAATAATGGATGGCCCCTGTGGCATATGTACGATGTTTTCGAATAATAAGTCAACGAAATGTTGTGTTCAAGCCTGTTAATTTTACAAAATATCAATATCAATAATCCCAAGATAAAAAAGCATCAATTGGGAGTCCTATATTATATATGCAAATATAATATTTAATTTTTAAAGGCCAATATTTTCGTAATAGTGGAAACGAAATGGACTACAACTACGCAGAGGCCAGAGTAGGTATCTTACTTTTGTTGTTTTCTTTAGTTTTCGTAGCTCAGAAGTGCACGACATATCCAGTTTTCGATTTATAGTAATAAGTCTCAAACAAAATAAAAAAGTTATTTTGTCTGAGTAATAAGTATTTATATAATGTTCGTGCGTACCGTATCACAACCTTTTTGCTATCAATCAATGCACCAGACGCAAAAACAGCCTTTTGGCCACCAATAGTAGATTCTCTTGCGCTTTCGATATACGCAAATACATTGAAAATACGAATAAATAAGACCTACTTTTATTTGAAATTGTTTCAAATTGAATGTAATTTGCCCATAAATTACGTTTTTGTCTACCGATCAACCTTTACAAAAATGTGTGCGTTCACAGTAAAATCAATAATTAAAATAATGCATTACCACGCATTTTGAATTTAAAAGATAAAAAGGACTGAATGTTTGGAGATTCTTTTTAATTAATTTTTCTTCACCTTTTGCCTATATTACTTATTCTGAACCTTCTTTGCAAATTTTGCCGGTTATTGCAAAATAACTCTGTATAAATAATACGGCTATACACAGCCAATATCCATTTAAAAAAGACAACGATCAATTTGTGTTCTTATAGCATTCCACAGTCCCAATGTATGAATTAATATAGATATTATATGTATGTATGGCATTGGGACTGTGGAATGCGCTAGATTTCTTATTAGTTTGTGGCAGGCCTTGTCAACTAATGTATGGGACCTATGCGGCATTAATAAACAGTAGCGTCATCGACTAAATTCGCTAAGAACTACGTCGGCTTCGCAGATCGATGTAGTACTTAGTAAACCGCGTAGATGGCGCGGTAACAAAATTATTTATTTGGTCATTTGTTTTACCAGATTTCTACCACAAAATTGCCAAGTTATTTGAAAACCTCTAAAATGAGAGTATTCACCAATTGATTTTGTATCTATCTATTGATTTTAAAATACTATGTTGTTTTTTTTTAATTTGTTATTCTGGATTTTCTTTCGATTTTGTTAATTTGGGAATTATCTGAGTTTTCCAAAAAATCGTCCTATAGACTGCGCTTTACAAACTGGTAGTTGTACAAACTGGTATAAAGAAAAATATTGATTACGTTTGATCAGTAAATAAACTTGATTAAAGCATCAGCAACAGATCTTTTTTTTAACTTATTATAAACCAGTGCTTCACCACGATCCCATCTGGTGGTAAGTGGTGATGTAGCCCTAGATGGTAAATCGCACTGTCTTAGCGTAACAAAAGCCTTTTCACTCTTGCCTTGAAGGCACCTAGATTGTATTCGGACGGAAAGATAAACGCTGGCAAATTATTCCACTGCTTTGCATTACAAAAGACGAAGCAAATAATAATGCGTAGAATATCGGCAACTATGGGGTGAAGACCCGCCGACCGCCTGGTTGTCCAATGACGGAAAGGAGAGGAAGGAATTAAAGCGTGTAATTCCTGCGCACACTCACCGAAATGCATCCTATAAAATACCGGCTATCTTGTCCATGTTTATAGAAGAATATTTAATTTATAAAATGGCAGCACTTAAAAATTAAAAAAACAAGCGTGCACGTTTTCATTCACTTCAAATTTCAACGATTTGTGACGATTTGTTGATTGATGTTGTTTTTGTTTTTCCTTTAATTTGTTACTTTATTACACTTCTATTATTGCGTTGAGTTGAGTGAATTTCGCTCCTCCACATTAGTGTCGGTCGAACCAGAGCAGTGTTGTTGGTGACAAGTTGATAAACTCAAGTGAGATACGGACTCTTTTCATAGTTTGTGTAAAATTGTGAACTTAATTAGATATCCACCTTCTTACCTATTTCACTATGGCACCCAACATTTATAGGAAATGTGCAAAATGTGGGCGATCTTCCAAACAAGTGCCAGGCATTAAACTGTCTCGGTTTCCTAAACCTGGGCCTAAAAATGCTATTCGGTAAGTTTGTTTGTACTTTTCATATACATATTAGGTATCAAGTTACTTTAACTTCTACATTAATAGTGTTTTTGTTGTACAACTACTGCGGCCCCCACATTACACATAGAATCCTGCTATTTGTTTTTATATACATACATTACATTTTTACATTTTAATAAATATATTGCGATGCCAAAGTTTTCTTTAAAATTTTCTCTAAGGGACTCTTTACAATTTAAGTTATAAATCGCCCATACGGCTCTCTTTTGCAAAACAAATATGGCATCAATGTCAGTTGCATTAACCCATATCAATATTCAATACTTTTTCATTTCAATTCTATAATTTTTTTGTGTTTGAATGGGTCTCTAGATGGTTTAGGGTTCACATTTGAACCTGGTAGGTGGTGCTTTTGTCGATATCTAGAAATCGCCCTTGTGAAGCAGAGGCAGATTGCTAATATTTTATATTTTTCAATGTAGGCATTCTTTTTTATTTATGTAATTCAAATTCAATAAAAATGTTAGGTATTGTTGTAGCACTCTTACTTTTGTCCCTAACTTTGTCTAAATAATAATTGATAATGTTATTTTTCAGGATCAAACTCTAGCATTGCAAGAATATCTGGGATCAAGTTCATCTCTAGATCTCAAGTCTCAACCAGGTCCTTCCCTTGTTGAGAATATTACGACTACTGAAATGCAATATCACAAAGTAAGTATACTACCAATAAAAATTTAAATAATAATCCTTGGCTACTTTTTGCTATTATTCCACTGAAGTGGTACAGTTGCAATTTCTACTACTCGCAATGTACCAAATGCAAATTGATTGCTGTCCATTGGTCTTGCTAAAACTCAAAAACGGCTCAACCTATTGTGATAATTTTTTTTGTGTTTGAATGGGTTTCTAGATGGTTTAGGTTCACATTTGAACCCGGTAGGTGGTGCTTTTGTCGAATCTAGAAATCGCCCTTGCGAAGCAGAGGCAGATTGCTAATATTTTATATATTTCAATGTAGGCATTCTTTTTTATTTATGTAATTCAAATTCAATAAAAATGTTAGGTATTGTTGTAGCACTCTTACTTTTGTCCCTAACTTTGTCTTAATAATAATTGATAATGTTATTTTTCAGGATCAAACTCTAGCATTGCAAGAATATCTGGGATCAAGTTCATCTCTAGATCTCAAGTCTCAACCAGGTCCTTCCCTTGTTGAGAATATTACGACTACTGAAATGCAATATCACAAAGTAAGTATACTACCAATAAAACATTAAATAATAATCCTTGGCTACTTTTTGCTATTATTCCACTGAAGTGGTACAGTTGCAATTTCTACTACTCGCAATGTACCTAATTTTGAAGTAGCAGGTGCACTTCTATGGTACTAGCCAAAAATACCGTTCTTAGCATTTTTAGGGTTCTGTGCCTCAACTAGCCTCAAGACGAAAAAAGAAACCCTTATAAAAATGCTAAAAAAGTTTTAAATCCTATTATATTCTTCATTATAGTTTTAAAACCACTTAATATCCTTTTTAATGTTTCATATAAACTAGCCGTTTGAATGTAGACCTCAAAGTATTATAAAAATAATAATAATAATATCTTGTAATAGTCCACCAAACAGATTATATATGTAGCACTAGCGCTACACTTAGTCTGGAAAATAAATGACTTATTATTTTGCAGAATCAAGCTGCAGCTCAAGATCTCGAGTGTCAACCAGGTCCATCTTTTTGCAATGTTCTTAAGAACATTACAAATTCTTATACACAGCACCACAAAGTAAGTACCTACCTTTTCTACATTTATATCTATTATATATTTAGAAAGAAAATGTTACTGACTGGACTGATTGACCTATCAACACGCACAGCTCAAACCAATGGATGGGGTTTAGGCTGAAATTTGCCCCACAGATAGCTAATATGACGTAAGCTTCTGCTAATCCAACACATATACCTATAAAATATTTTGCACGCTCAAGCTCTAGCCCAAAATGTCAAGTGTCAACCAGACCCGTCAGTTAAGGAGAGTATGATTACTGAAATTAAGAATGATAAAGTAAGTACCTATCCTATCCACGAAATCTAAGAAATACCTTTTGACAGCTATCACCTTAATTTTTTTTTTATTTATTTAATGAAAAGAAAAACAATATAATCCTATATATATATAATATTATCCGTTATTTCTAATTGGGTTTTACTTGGTATGTCGTTAATGAGAGTTGGTATTAAATATAATCAAAATAGTATTTCTAGTTTTGATTGAACTACTTTCCGTGTCGTTATTTTATGATTTACTTTTATTTGTAGTTCTTTGTTAGTAAATTGTGCAATTAATAGCCACATTTTTATTTTTATATGAACGGGTAAGATTTTACAATATTTAAATAAGGGCAATACATCGTCATCGGAGCAGATTGATTTTTAATTTTATTAGGAGTTATAATTTTTAAAAACCGAAGTTGAAGGCTGTATATTTTGTCCAAATAAGTTTTAAATGTCCTACCATAGCTAGTGATCCCATATGAAATTATTGACTCTGCGAGTGCATTATATAGATTTAGTAATATTTTAAATGGTACTTTGTATTTCAAGATAGCAAATTTAGCTAACATTGCTCTCAGTTTGTCACAAATTGTGTCAATATGATAACCCCAGTTATCGACTTCTAGTCCTAAGTATTTGTAACGAGGAACCTGCTCTAACAACTCAAATTTGCAACCGGTCCTATTTGTTTCCAAAACATGCAAGCACTGGTGTCTATGCGCGATTACTTCGATTTTCTTATCAAAATTGAGTAGCTAGTTAGAGCCGACATGAATAATTTTAGTTTTACTAGCATAAGTTAGTGAAATCAATTTGTAAACAGTGTTCAGCCTTAGCAAATTTTTTTTTATAGGATAGGGTGACAAACAAATTGTATGAGAGCTGGTAGACATTTTTGGGTAGGTAATAGGTATTTGACAAGTTTTTAGTGCTCCTCAAATACCTACCCAAAAATGTCTTTTTTTATAGGATAGGCTGACAAAATGTTTATGGAATAAGGGTGACAAACGAGCACACAGTCCACCTGATGGTAAGTGGTTACTGTGACCCATAGACATCTACATCTATCCTCAATAAAGACTCAAGATGCAGATGCGTTGTCACCCGTGAGGACTAAGATGGAATGCCTCTTTTCCAGTAAAAAGGGTCTCCGGCTCTCTACACTCACCATACGAAACACAGCAGCGTTAAGCTGCTATTTTACGCCGGTATTCTGTGAGAGCGTGGTCCTTCCCCTGTCGAGCCGACCAATTCGTGCTACAACTATACTACTCATATAAACTCGTATAAAATTATTGGACCAGCCATTCCAAATGAAAAATCGGTACCTACAATAAAAGTAAACAATATTGTTTCTTTAGAGTTGGTAATAATTAACAGTTTTATCTAGATTAATCATCATCTCAATTCTTGTAATTTCTTTTAGAAAATGGGGTCTAGATTATATCTAAAAAGAGCAATTAAAATATCTAATTAATAAAATTATCCATAATAAGTAGGTACCTCCACACTCACTCACTCACTCAAAGGCACAAATTAGTAATTAATTGTTAATGCTTTTGTTTCAGATGATTGTCTGTAAAGAAATACAGAAACAAACTTTTAAAAAAACTGACAGAGAAAATTATTTATACAACAAATGTAGAAGACAAGTGAAAAAAATTTGTCAACTAAAAAGAACAATTCAGAAGATGAGAAAAAGAGATGCCCTCAACATTTTAGAAAAAAATAAGTCTGTAGCAAAACTAATGCAGAGGCTGACGCCGTCTTTTGCGCTGATGCTACAGGCTCAATTGAAAAATGATGAAAAGAAATTTAAAGGCAGAAGGTGGACATTCGACGAAAAAGTAATCGCATTGAGGTTATTTAAAAGGTCCCCAACGTGCTACCGATTATTAAGAAGGATGTGGTGCCTTCCATCACCTAGCACATTAAATAATTTATTGAGGTTATTTCTAACCTTATTATTATTATTATTATTGAGGTCTAACCAGTGTTGAAACAGCTAGACTAGTTTACTTTAGCTATTTCCATAGCATAATGTCGTATGGTATTTTGCTGTGGGGACACGCAGCTGACACTGAAATTATATTTGTTTTACAGAAGATGGCTATAAGAGCAATTTATAATTTAAAGCCTAAAGAGTCGCTGCGACAAATATTTAAGAAAATTAATATATTAATTTTGGCCTTTCAATACATTTATGAAAATGTAATGTACGTACACAAAAATAAAAGTAGTTTTACAAACATAAGTGATATTCATTCTGTAAATACTAGGAACAGACACAAGCTAATAGTACCAGTTACTCTACTCCACCGAGTCAGTAATTCATTCTTGGGGCGAATTATACGCTTTTACAAAAAAATTCCAGAAAATATACAAAATTTGACTTGCTCAAAGTTCAAAAACTTTATTAAACTAAGTTTGTATAAAAAGGGTTATTATAAAGTTAAGGAATTTATGGATGATAATAACCCCTGGGAATGAGGTGATCGCTACCAAGCTATTTCTAATTTGTTGTGTTGTTAATTGTGAACATACATGATTGTAAGCTATTTAAAAAAACCCGCTGGGTTTCTTGCTGGTTCTTCCCAGGACAGAGGTTTTTTTTCGAACCAGTGGTAATTAAACAAAAGAGTGATTTTCAATAAGTATTATATATAATCTATATTGAATAAACAAGTTTATGTTTCTGTTTCAAATTGTCGACATTTTTATATTTAAATTGAGTATATATTATTATAGTTATTTTCTATGTGAAAATTGCAAGAAGTTTGCATAATTTAAACATTGTTTTGTAAACTGTAATTCCAATATGCCAACTTATTTGAATTTAAAACATTTTTGTATAGTTTAGTTATATTTTTTTTTCCGTATCTTTTTTTATGGAGAAATTAATTTGTAAACATAAATTAAGATTTACTATACTTGCAATCCAAACTTATTAGTTTGGATTCGTGATGTCCCAGGCACTACAGCGTCTAGAATAGCTGTTGTAAAATTATTGACGCTGTATAAATCATCTTTAGATGTAAAGGCCAATTTTTCTATTAAAACAAAATTCAAATTGTCGACATATTTTATATTTTATTTAAATTGATTACATATTATTGTAGTTATTTTCTGTGTGAATATTGTAAGAATTTTGCATAAATCTTTTGTTATGAATAAATGAATTTGTAAGCATAAATTATATTTTACTATAACTTGTATTCCTCGTCAGAAATACATAACTGTGACCGATTCTGGTTTTTCCAAGATTTATTCTATTAGGAAATATGTTTCTAAAATAATTAATTATTATAATTCTAGAGATAAATTTATAGAAATAATGTTTAATGATAAAAACATATTTTTTAATAGAATAAATCTTGGAAAAACCAGATCGATGAAAAAAATTTAATTTCTGCGATTCGAATTTTCCCGCTCAAATTTGTTGTATGTGCTCCAACGGTAGATGGCGCTGAATTTTGTTCCTATCCATTTTATATGGAGTTAACATTCTTCTCCGCTAGGAGTAAAGTATTCTGGGCAATAGATTTAGAAAAACGCGCGAGTGTCTGCATCCAATATACCTAATATTGATTGTCTCATATAAAAGATCTATAGCTTGCTATAGATCTATTCATCTGTGGTCTTAAAAAAGCAAACAATTGAAACTTGTAAACGCATTATCGAACAATTGAAATTTAAAAACCATTTCAAAGCTTCAAACTATAATTATTTATAACGGGACAAGCAAAAGATAATAATATGGTAAAATTTGCGTCAAAACCATAGATTACTGAAAAAGGCGCGAGGTTTCTTCGTAAACAGATAATTTATTTTATCAAGTTTAAATCACTGCCATCTAGTGGCATTCTATATATTACATGTTTTTAAAACAGATGTCGTTGATTGTAAATGCGAGCGAGTACATGCTACGTTTGTAGTCTTATTTTACTGTTTAGAACCTAATATAATTACCTGTAACTTCCACGCGGAGCAACATAATATACAGAAATTTTATCAAAAATCTAAATAGTAGATAGTAGTTTGTGTACCTATAGCCTCTTTTGTTGTGCGTAGGTACCAGATTCATGCCAATAAGTCATGCAGGATGTTCTAACATATAGACGTATGTAGAGCTCCCAACTACTACTTTAATTTTTGTAATCTTTTTCTGGATTTAGTAGTAGGTAGTAGATTAAATATTGATTCTTTTAATAAGTATCTCCAATAGCTTTACAAACGCTCAATGTAGCTATATATAAATATTGCGTAATATATTTTATAATAGTGCTACCATCTTTGACTTGATACTGTGTGCGAGGCATATTTCATTTTGTTTACCTCTTGGGGACAAATAAATAAGCTGAAGAAACAAAATAACGTTTTACTTAAAATCGGTTGTATTTACATTTCGTCCATTGTAGAAAATCAATAGTGTTCAACATCACAAATAAATAAAATCGTACTAAGGTATTCACATTAGACGTACATCGTACATAATATGCGACAGCTCATTCTCACCACAAACGAAAGGCGGGACGATAGGATTAATTCATAAGATAATTCAATTTCATTTTTATTTTATTTCAATGTCAATTGTTGCTAATGAAAACAATTTTGCTCCCTTCGATGCTCGATCGGCAGTGGAGCATTTCTCTAAATGCTTGAATCACCCCGCAGTCTGTTACGGGCGTCGCGCGTCGGTTAAAAAAATTCGGTCCGGCTCCGATAGAATGGTGCACGCGGCCGACCGCTAGACCGCGGGAGCGTCGGTATGCAGTTCAACGAATTGCGACGCAGCACAATCATCCATTACCGCGCGGCAGTGCATTGCACGAGCGGCAATGGACGGCGCGCAGTTGGTTATTTTCCACGCGCGAGGACGCGTCGCCATGCCGCGATACAGGCGGACGCCAGACGCCATCGGATCGCGGCGGATGCGGGGAGGGGGAGGGGAACGCCGGCGCGCGGCAAATCGAACGAGGCCACGCGCGGCGCGTGGGGAGAGGTGGCGGGGGACACGCCGACGCGCTTTCTGCCCCGCACCCGGCGCGATCCCCGCCGACCTCTTAACGTCCCTTCGTAAAATATAACTTACCACCTACATACTAAATCACTTAATAACCTAGGAATCTCTTATTCCACACCTCGTAACTTGAATACCGAACTGAAAAGTTCTATCCTAATTAACAATATGGACAAAATTACAGGCCGGTTCTAGATGTTTGGTGTAGCGGCGCGTAGACCGCCGCGTTCCTTTATCAGTCTCATGGAGCGGGCGGCCGGCGCGCAATCCAAGAGATAATGGCAAAATTGTGATGTTTTCCTATTAAAATGTTGTCGCAAGAACATACCTCTCGTCCCGGTCACGGGCCGTGCGTTAAGAAAACGCGGTCTTACCGAGTCTAAGCTCCCACTAGCTTCAATTATAGCACATTTGCTATTAAATATTCATTACAATAATAATATGAATTTTAGAGCCTAGCACATCGGTTAGATATTTGTGACATGTGACGAGAGGTTCTCTGAGAAGGAAAAAATACAGTGTACCCGAACATAATCACTTTGTTACAGCTGCTTACAAAAATCCCATGATGCACTTATTCTAAATATGTACACACAAACTCTCATCAGTAATAAGAAAACGAGGGATTGAGCTTTGTGACTTTCTGCTTATTTCTACTACTATTACAGCATACCAGTTCTATCATTATTGCTTAATGCTGATAAGGATATATTTTAAAGAAAAATATCACAACTTTACCATACAATGGGCTCATAGGTATACCTCCAAATACATAGCGAATTTTCACTTAGAATATAAGGTTTACTTTCAAAAAGAAAAACACATTTGTACATTTCATGACAAAATTCAACAGCATTCCACTAAGTCTTAATTATTAATTGTTATCAGCTAGCCGTGAAATGTAAAACAGCTTGTTCTGAACTTAAAACATTGTAAAAAATTGAAAATCTGCATTGATTTGACTTAATTACGTTTTTTGTCATTTAAATAGAACTGCACCCGTTTTAGGTGGGAGCGTCAACGGCCCCGCGTGTTCCCAACTGCCGCTTGTGTTGGGGCTGTCGGCTATAGTTCTCAGTGCACCCTCACATTGGCCGCTTTCAAACAAAATGTATACAAAATTTTATCTCTTGAACTTGTCAACATTTAACAATTTCAGAAGTCAAAATACGCATAATTGACGAAAGTATTTGCAATAGTCTTCCTCTAAAAGAATTTGGGTATGATTCCTAGGCAATATGACTTTAGTACAAACGTAAATGCTTAAAGCAATAAAGATTAAGAGGGTTGTAATAAGATCCAATTTAACACCATCTTTCGTCTAATATAAGGGTGCACCATAACAGTTGGGGCGAGGCGAGGCCGCGCCATTCCAGGCCGTCACGTGCACTAACACTTCACTGTGACATTGTCCATAAAGAGGCACGAGGCGTATTACGCATCCTCCTCCTCCTCTTCGCCTAATAACTCTTCTTCTACTTCCTCATCTGCAACAAAAAAATTATATATTATATAATATTATATAGATTTTTATCTATCATTTTTATAAAATAACACTGTGTACAGTAATATGCAGTGATCAACACACATTGACAGTACACATGTAACATTCTTTATATCATGATATAATTTTTACGTAAGCATTAAAATTACTGTGTCAATTTTAAAACTCGCCTTCGAGATCGTCTTCCTCGCCTTCTTCTAATTCTTCCTCATCTTCTTCTCCTTCGTCAACTTCTTCATCATCTTCCTCTTCTCCATCGCCTTCTCCTTCCAAATCGTCTTCTTCACTGTGTGCTTCATCGTCGCCACCGCCGTTTTCTTCTTTTCGCGCCTTTTTCGCCTCTGTCACTTTGTCCTACAACAAACAAAACCGTTTTTAAACTAGCGGTGAAAGTATGTAATTTAAAAGTTATATACAAACATACGTCGTGTTCTATCTCTTCGCATTAAGAGATCAATAAGCTATCGACTTACTTTTAAGACCCGCCTAAACTACGATAATATTTCGTAAATGACGCCAACTGCATGTTCTATATAAAATAAAGTGCCGCAGGTGACAAGGGTTTTTGCTAATAAAGTACCGTGGATTATCAATATGGGGGAAAGAGAAACGTATTATACCGGCGTCATACAGCCGAGTTTGCCTTGGCAATTTCAAAAGGAAGTCGAACCACGACGCCACCACAGGTTGTAACGATACGTAAACGACATCGTTGAAATTTATAAAAAAAGGAAAACAGCCGAAGACACAACACGATGAACTTCAATTAGTTTGTTATTAATCAGCTGTTAAAGGAGGAACAAAATTGCGAAGTTAATTTGCTTGAATGTAGGTTACAAAACGCGACAGGGATAGAAGATAATACTTTTGCTATAGACGATATTTCTGATTACGAGATTCCCGCCCATTTGACATAGCTCAATTTGTTTTACAGTAAATTACTAGCATTTCGGCATGTATCGAACAAAGAAAAGTACAAACTAGTATCTATATACGAAACACCTACATGCAAATAACGCCGGGTCATTGACTACTTTTCAGTGTAACGCATAACCAAAATAAAAGCACAATTGCGCAAATGGCAACGCTATGATGTTATATATTGAGTCTGTTTCAGAGCATACTTGGAATATTGTACAAGGAATAAACGAAAATAAAAATCATAATAACAGAAAATATACTTTTGAGGATGCTTGTGCCATCTACTTATGACAGCGCGACTTCATAAACTGACATTTCGCCGGCCATGTTACCAAGCGTCACGCTTGTAAACCCACAAAATAGTTACCTAATTAATAATAGCGAAAAATATGTAACAAAATCATTATAACACAACACCATTCAAAGAAAATATAATGTACATTTGTATAATAACCATATTATTATCATCGAGGACAAGCGTACGTTCCCGCGCCATATTTTTTTCTGCCAAGGTCATGCCTTCGTATCGAAAACGAGTAAACAAAGCTAGAAACCCTAAAGAATGGTGGAAACAAGATGTGTTAATTCAATATTTTGTTTAATATAATTAATAAAAGTTACAGTAAAACTGACTCATCGATTACCTCATAAGCTAAAATACCAAGTCGAAATGACATCCAAAAATATGCCGGTTATGTTAAAGCGCGAGTGGGTCACTTTTGTAACCACGTGTAATATTATTAATATCTATGCAATAACAATTGGTATAATATTTTACACAATATTTTATGCGTTCAATAAAATGGCGAGCGGCTCAAATGAATACATTTGTGGTTTGACATGTGCACTCACCTCTGCTGCCCTTTTGGCTCCTTTTAAATCACTTTTTGCTTCCCCAGTTTTCTTATCTTCGACCTTGTCAACGGCCACTTCACTGTTATTTTCATTGGTGCTCATGATTGTTCTGGTTTTTGTGTTAATTACTAGAAATAGTAAGTTAAGTATACGGCTACTCGAAACCGACGCGCGACTGACTGACTGATCGAGTGAGCGTGAGCGGGCGGCAGCGGGAGCGAGGGAGATGTGTTTGAAAACGAAGATGGCGCGGGCTTCTACACGCTGGGCGTCTGATTGGTCGAAACGATTCGCCATTAACAAGTTTTGACTAGCATGTGGCCTATTTTTTAAAAATATATTATTGTATTCTTATCATGTATATTGTTCGATATTTACTCAAAAGGTGTTAAAACATATGGTAAAAAAACCCAAATCACCAAAATATATAATAGTTAATTTTGCTAAAAAAAAACAGAAATAGTAGGTATTTACCAACAAAATTCAATTCGTTCTTCATATTAACGCTGTGTGGCGCTTGCATCAATTGATATTTCTAGCGGGAAACTGGAATTCGTCAACAAATTGACTTTAATTTTGTTTCTATTTTATTAGGAAAATTTAAAACTTTTATCCCTATTACATTTATAAAATATGTTTAACATTATTATTTTTGTTATTATTCTATAATCGGAACGGTTGTAAACGCGTACAAAATAGTCATAGATGATAATGATAATTGTTAATGATTAATCAACAGATCACGTTAAAACTATACAACCGTCCATAGATTAGTTTTTACTCTATATATACCGTCGTACGATATGCAAAATAAAAATACTTTAGCTATTAAAGTTAACGTTTATTTACACAATTGAGGCTAACTCACAAACTGTGAAACCACTTATGGGTAAGATACATACTATAGGTACCTAGGACCACGTAGGACATTAAGAAAACAAAAACAATTTCTTTTAAGGCCATCAAAAATAGATTTTATTTTAATGTAGGTTCATTATAAAAACATGTATCTTTTTATATTATTCATTGTCATATTTTACCATAAATAATATTATGTCATATTCATGCGTCGCTGCATAATTATTTTTAAGTTTTGTATATTAACAAAGTTTAAGGTCTAATTGGTTTAAACCTGTTACAAAAATGTGTTAAAACAAATTTAAAAAAATTAACCACAGAACCCTTTTTGTTTTCTAGTGCCCGTATAAAGTGTATAATAAAACAAAATAAGGCTAAAATATTATTTTATTAAAGTTCACTCATATGTATAAATTATGTAGGTATTAAATATGAACAGTAGTTACCTACAGTACAAACGGTTTTTTGAGATGGAGCAGTATAAAAATATAAACTCGGTTTTACTCAAAGTATGTACCTACTCATGCTTTCGTTACCAATATTGTAAGAAAAAAAAACTGCATTACCTATATTTTCTAAGAAATTGTTGCTTTAATCTGGAATAGGTTCTAATTTGCAAAAATAAAATGCTTTCAGTATTTATTGCATCGACATTGTTAATAAAATCATATTTTTGTTATTAGCTTTAAGAAAAACTTTAGTTTTAAGAAAAAACACAGAAAATGTTTGAAACGTTAGAGCAACAACTAGCCTAAAATTTGCGATGAATTGGTACTAGAACTTTTAATGTGCTCATTCAAAAATACAACTTATGATTGTCTTGTTAAACATTAAAGGTGATAGATCATAAATCGATGACGAGTCCTTTGAGGAAATTCGCTATAGGAACTGCTCCATTTCAGCGCGCCATTACAGCATAGTGCTAAATTGTACTGGATAACAATTTTTTTGTGAAAATCTCGATAAAATAATGTTTAGTGGCGAATATTGTTTCACTGAAACGAAGTTAAAACACTAATAAATGTTTTTACTTGGTAGTATCAGTAAGAAGGTATATAAATAAAAACACACCGTAAAATTCAGTCTTTACAACAAATTTCAAGACCACTAATGACATAGGTATCACAGGCATGATGACATACATCGCATAATGTTCAGAAATATATAATATGTAATTATTCCTAATCAGTAAGTGACAATAGAATATAAACTATATTATATACTTAAAGACATTTACAATCATAATATCTATAAAAATAATGCAACAAGCATCTACATTTTTATACAAAAGTTGCATTAAACACATAACATTAAATACACGGTATACAAATATTCTGAATTTTAAATAATTATATATTTGTATTGCCCTCCAAAGGTAGACATTTCTGTAGATTTTCACATTTCGATCGTCTTATTAATTAAATTAAAAAAATCACTGTAACCTTCTATACATATAATAACAATCTGAAAAAGAGTTCCAGCTATATTTGAAATACCAATGTATTATGCAAACTTAATCAATAGTCCTTCAATAATTAATAAAGATATGAAAACACTTGTTTCAAAACACATTGTCCTTTACCACATGGCAATAATACAGAAAATAATTGTGTTCTTCAGTCCTCTGTCTGTTCAAAAAGTACCAACACAAAAATAGCTAGATATGAGAAAGTAATTTAATAAATTTTGATCAATTGGGGAAATCGACCATAATAAAAACGACAGGGAACACACCTTTTAAAAAAATACTTTCTGTATGAAAATGCAATGCATTCTGTAAAAGAAGTAGAGAAGTAGAGTTAGAATATACTGGCGATATTCTATGGTTTGAATAGATAGGAAAAGTAAGGTATGTACATATAATCAAATAACGGCAAAAAATCAATAAACAATTTAGAACCAATTCATAGTTTATTATTTTTATTCATTTTTTAACTATTTAATGATACAATATAACTTTTTAAAAGCAATTACTATAATTACATTACAATTTTAATCACGGAGTATAAGAGTAGGGTTGCGGTGGTAATTGCCCTGCTTTAACGAAGAGCCCGCTGGATGATACAGAAGGCATACATCGTTCAGGTCTAGAATTGATATTTAGCTCCAAATGCCAATCATTATGAAACATTGATTAATCTCGTTCAATAAGATCTCTTTGACTGCGTTGCGGGTTCTATGATAATCTAATAATCGTACGCTCACCAGATGTCGCTAGTTGGGTCTGAGGTGAAATTCTTTATCACGCAGATGGTTACACACATCGTCATTGAAAGGTTTTTCGGTTTCCATTTTAGTGTCGTTGTTGTAATGGTTTTATATACACAGAACAAGGCCTCAATGCCATATTCTTTAATTTTTACTTTTTTTTAAAATTTTTCTACATTTAGGAATATCCATAGTTGGGTTTATCCCTTTTTCTAATTAATATAAATTATCACCAATATTTCATAAATAAAAATTAATCTCTATATTTTTCTAATAAAATAGTTTCCCCCGCTATGCAATCTGTCAAATATTACACCTCTTTCCTAAGTGGCGTCGTCCGGAGGTAGAAAAAGTTATTCGAGGGACTGGTGCAGCAGTTAGATGAAATCTCTCGCCAGTGCACGCTGGCAAGGAGAGTATCTACGTCAATGCCCTTTTCGCCGTCCACCGGTGTGCACTAGTCCTAATGTTTATAAATATTTAGCCTGCATGATGGAAACCAAGAAATAGACATCAAATTAAATGCAAACATAATTTTGAGACATGTTCAACATAGTATTCGCAAATAAAAAAAAATGTTTAAAAAAGAAATTGTTTTCAATTTTTTATTGTTGTGTGAACTCAAACCAACAAAGCAAGAAAGCCTAAGCGCTGTGTAGTGCGTATATTTCAAGTAACGCCAAAACCATGTTCAACTTTTTGCGGCACTGAAGCATACTTTTACTTCTTTCTTTCTTTCTTTCCTAAAAGCAACTAAAAGGTCACTGCTGAACACACACATATGAACCTAAAACCGTGTCGGTTGCAATTGATTTTAGATGCATATGTGTCCGTTAGTGTGTGTTCTTACAATAAGTTGACCATGGTTTTGGCTTGGTTTTTTGAATCACTTGAAACGTAGTCAGCGCAATTGGTTTAAGTGTTAAAGAATAAAATGGAATGGTTTAAATTATATACAAAAAATCATATTTTAATTGTATCATATTAAATTCATATGGCATACTTTATTTGAAAATAGTACAAAATATAGCGTACAAGAAATACAAGATTTACACTTTATACATAATATAGTTTGCGTATACGCCAGGGAGGATATCTGTTCTCGACGCCTCGGCAGTCTTGAAGATAAGGACCTGTCCAACCTTTGGCTGCGCGTAGACAGCGACGACCATCACAGAGTGCCACTATAAGTCCCATAGCGGTGCCGATACAGACCGACTCATCGACCACGTCCAAATGTCTACAGATTCCTTGCTATAACAGATCTCATTCGTAGAGATCGTGATCCTCGGTGATTGTAACGCCCACCACGCCGAATGACTCTGTTCACGTTTAACCAATCATGCGGGGCGATCTGTTTATGTTTTTTACCTTGGCTAACATATATAACTAGCGATCTAATATAGTGTAATCTAATATAGAGCTGATATAGTCACCTACCGGGTTAAATTGTATGTAATTGAATGTAAACCATCCAGGGACCCACTCACACACAATTTTTTAATCATAATCGATCCAGCTGTATAAAAGGATTGCAGTGACAAACACAAGTACCGAAGAATTATACTTAGGAGGTATACAAAAATTGTTAACATGATATGGTCAGTTTGTGGTTTCAGTTTCTTGAATTTTTTTCCGGATCGCATCTGTGTCTACCATCACCAAGCAATACGCTTGTGTCTTCGTGTGTGTGTGTTCGCTAAAAGTTTATCATATTATGCTAAACACGTTGGTTACAATATAGACTTTGTAATTATCGTTAATGTTTCCAGGTTTTGATTGCTAACATAATTTGATGCTCAGGCCTCTCTTACAAAAATAAAACAACCTTTAAAAATGTCAAGGCTAACTTAAAAGAAATAAAAAAGATAAAACAATTTCACATTCAGAAGTACACTTGTTTTGCAAATTCAATAGGGCTTTTTCTAAATTCAAAAATAAAAAGTCTAGATTTCCTCGATAAAATTGACACCAATAAAAATAAATTTTCAATAAACTTATTCTTTACAATAATCTATAACAAAGGTTTTTTAATTATATAACACACTAGCTGGTACCAATCGCTTTGCTGCCGCAGAAGAAATAATTGAGGAAACATCATTTTAAAAATTGGAACAGTTATATTGTTTCATTAGGAATACACATTCACTGAAATTGAATGATATATGACTTTCAAATAAATTTGTCGGCACGATACGCGCGTCACCTACTGTAAGTTAATTATACCATGCCTATAACCTTCGCGCAAGTGCAAGCGATAAGTTGACCAAGTTTTAGCGCAATCTGATGAACGGTATGGCAGCACAGAAAATACGAACAAACAAAAATTATTTTTCATATATTAGATTTACAATAAAAGCATTGAAACGTTCATAACAATGTCCGCTCATGAAAGTCCTTGCCATTAAAACTTTGAAGACATAAAACTGACATACTCTTTTATCGGCCTAATATAGTGGTGTTTTATCTCACGATGCCGGGTTGATCTTGCTTGTAGTGTAGGTGCATATACACATTGTATTAGTGTGCGTAAGTTCAATAGTCAAAACGCATTATCGAGCATCATGAGAACAAAAAGTAAAGCGAGAAGAGTTGAAGGAAAACAATTGATGTGTACTTTACTAAGCAGCCGAATAAGGCTCGCTCAGCATTTGTGAAGTAAAACCTCTATACCTGTACATAATCCTTGAACTGTGTATTTTTAATTATTACTAAGCCTCCGTTGTCCATCCATCTATCTGTCAGCGGACTGTATCTCATGATCCGTAATAGGTAGACAGTTGAAATTTTCATAAAAGGGAGCTCCCCTACTAGAAACGTGTTTTACGATGGTATGGAACCCTTCATGCGCCAGTCCGACTCGCACGTAGCCGTGTTAGAAGCGGCATTAGAAACCAACTACTCTATATCCCGTGGATACCACTGATAACCACCCAAAGTAATAAAAAACTTCGATTGTCAACACACCTGCCAAGCATGGCAACTTTGCCAAATATGCCCCCTAAGAGTCAATTTATAGGGGAGATATATGTTCAGCAGTGAACTTTTAACAGGATCTTGAAATATAAGGATAATGAAAATGAAGTAAATATACTAAATAATTTAGTATATTTACTTCATTTTCATTATGCTATTTCCATAGCATAATGTCGTATGGTATTTTGCTATGGGGAAACGCAGCTGACACTGAAATTATATTTGTTTTACAGAAGAGGGCCATAAGAGCAATTTATGATATAAAGCTTAAAGAGTCGCTGCGACAAAAATTTAAGGAAATTAATATATTAACTTTGGCCTCTCAATACATTTATGAAAATGTAATGTATGTACACAAAAATAAAAGTAGTTTTACAAAAATAAGTGATATTCATTCTGTAAATACTAGGAACAGACACAAGCTAGTAGTACCAGTTACTCGACTCCATCGAGTCAGTAATTCATTCTTGGGGCGATGTATACGCTTTTACAACAAAATGTCAGAAAATATACAAAGTTTGACCTGCTCAAAGTTCAAAAACTTTATTAAACTAAGTTTGTATAAAAAGGGTTATTATAATATTAAAGAATTTATAGATGATAATAACCCTTGGAAATGAGTTGATCGGTACCAAGCTATTTCTAATTTGTTGTGTTGTTAATTTGTGTAGATAACATACATGATTGTAAGCTGTTATTTAAAAAAAGTCCCGCTGGGTTTCTTGCTGGTTCTTCCCAGGACAGAGGTTTTTTCCGAACCAGTGATAATCAAACAAAAGAGTGACTTTCAATAAGTATTATTTATAATCTATATTGAATAAAAAAGTTTCTGTTTCTGTTTCAGTGGTGTAAGAATTTTTCTGAAGTTTTTAGCAAAATGAAATATTGTATAACTGTAAATTCATACTCAAGAGTAGATAGAACACGTGCTTGACATGAATCGCAGAATTTTACCAAGAGTGGCCATAAACTATAAAGAAGATGATAACCATGTAGTGCTGCTTACGATTCCAAGTTTAAGTATAAATAAAGTCCTCCAGACCGAATTTCGGTCACGGTGGCCAGTCTCAACGGAGACTAGACCATAGATATGTTGTGTCAATCGTGAATGATTCGATCAATTGAACCGGGTCGCGTCAAAATATTGATAGTTGTAGTGTCATTTTTTGAACGTTCCAGGATCAAACTATTGACAGATCTGCGACCAGAGTATAGTAATGTCCGAAGACCTACATTATCTAGCAGATCTCACTGAGTACTGAAACATGAAATGATCCATAATATAATAAATAATCCATAAATGAATGTGAATAGTTCACGCAATTTTTTTATAGAATAAGGTTGACAAACGAGCACACAGTCCACCTGATGGTAAGTGGTTGCTGTGGCCCATAGACATCTACATCTATCTTCGTTTACGAATCAAAATGCAGATGCGTTTTCACCCGTGAGGACTAAGATGGAATGCCTCGGTTCCAGTAAAAAGGGTCTCCGGTTCTCTACACTGACCATACGAAACACAGCAGCATCAAGCAGCTATTTTACGCAGGTATTCTATGAGAGCGTGGTCCTTTCCTGGTCGAGCCGACCCATTCGTGCTACAACTATACCAGAAATATAGCTGCAGCATGGCTCTACCACGTATAGTGTAGTCATGTTGGGTAAAGTCGTGTTAGATATAGCGATCTTGGGTGTAGAGGTGTTAGGGTGTAGAGGTGTTGGGTGTAGTGATGTTGGGTGTAGTGATGGTAGTGAATAGTTCACGCAATTGTGATGACGGATTTCTCAAACTAGCTGATTTCAGTAGTGAAAGTTTTTAGTAGTGAAAATTGGGTCTGGCAGAAGAAGCATGAGAGTAGAATAAATGCTGTAGAAATGCGTTCCTTAAGGAGTATGCTAGGGCTGAATCTGAATGACAGGGTGAGAAATAGTGTGATAAGAGAAAAGTGTGGTTTGCAAGATGACGTTGTGACAAGGATTAAGAAAGGAATGCTTCGGTGGTTTGGTCATGTAGAAAGAATGAACGAGGAAAGAGTGACAAAGCAAATTTATGTTGCGGAAGTGAACGGCAGGGTCGAGAAGGGACGCCCTAGACGAAGGTTTATCGACCAAATCGGCGATACATTAAAAATGGGCCAGATTAGGAGTACCCTTAACCGACGAGCGTGTATGCGTAGATATATGGATGTAAAAGAGGCGAGAGAGGTGTGTCAGGATCGCGCCAAATGGAAGTCCGTAGTCTCTGCCTACCCCTCTGGGTGACAGGCGTGAGTGTTTATGTTTATGTTTTATGTTTATGTAATTTGCGGATCTTAGCCAAACAGTTTTCTCATATTCAAAATAGAAATTATAAATATTTTTCTCGCTTTAGTGATTTGTAAATAACAGTTAAGTTTTATACATCATTAGTAAACTAGCCTCTAGTTAACGGTACGCCTGCAATGTACCGTTGCCATCAGTCAAACTTTCCCGTTAAGGCACTGATGGCAACTGGCAAGTCGCTTACAACGTTCCACCGGTGTCGAATCTCACTTAACCCCAGCATCGTAACCACAATCTGTGGAACCGCGATTTAGGTGTGGACACAGCGGTGAGGAGTGACTGTATAATGTAGTACATGTTGATTGTCATTAGAAGGCTGTGCAGGCGTTTCCGTCGAACTCGATGTTGCCCCCAATAGCCGGGGAGTAGTCATCGGAAAACAACCGGTTCTCACTTCGCCACGCACTATAAAGTGTAGGTAAAAAATCGTTGAACAATGGACTGCGCTGCGCTACTCTGTTCTCTCGGACCACCTGCGACGGAAAACACACCGAAATTATTAATGGATTCATTCATTCACTGCAACCTATCTAAACGCGGTAGAGTCACGCTGCAACTATATTACGGTTGTACCACAAATGGGTCGGCTCGACCGAGGAAAACCACGCTCTCACAAAATACCAGCGTAAAATAGCAGCTTAATACTGCTATTTCGTATGGTGAGTGTAGAAAAACGGAGGCTCTTTTTATTGAAAACGAGGTATTCCATCTTAGTCCTTAGGGGTGGTGACAACGCATCTGTATTTTGCTTCTTTTTTTTTATAGGATAGGGTCACAAACCCATAGACATTTATCCTCAATAAAGAATCAAAATTCAGATGCGTCGTTACCCGTGAGGACTAAGATGGAATGCCTCTTTTCTAGTAAAATGGGTATCCGGTTCTCTACACTTACCATACGAAACATAGCAGCGTTAAACTGCTATTTTACGCTAGTATTCTGTGAGAACGTGGTCCTTCGCCGGTCGAGCCGACCCATTCGTGCTACAACTATACTACTAATATAGCTGCGGCATGGCTCTACAACGTGTAAATTCTTAATCGAAGATAATTTTATATGTTCATAGGCCACAACATCCACTTACCATCAGGTGAACTGTGTGCTCGTTTGTCACCTCATTCTCTATAAAAAGAGAGCTTGGTCGTACTCCGGTCGAGCCGACCCATTCGTGCTACAACCAAAACATAGCTGTAGCGTGGCTCTACCACGTAAACAAAATGCCGTAACAGGCGACAGTGGTTTGTTTCCCACTGTCGCCTCTTACGGCACCCCTGGGATGATTGAGGTAGTGGATGTTCTTACACCACCATTAACACGATAATCAAGACATCCGCAGAAGAACATGAGCAACTGACATAGCTAAGCGAATCAGTAGGCTGATGTGCCGGCCATTATTCGGTAGCTCGAAGCTATATGAGGTTGGGGTTGGACTCGAGTGGCGGGATCATACTTGTAAAGTGTTGAACGACCCCCTACTAGACGGAGTGACGACCTGATGAAACATTTAAAGCGATAATAGCCTAATGGCAGGATGCGGACCGCGAACTCAAAAGGTCGTGGGTTCACAAGCATTTTAAGCTTACCAGGAGTGGTTAAAGGGAATATTAGCAATATTAATATTATTGCCAGTATTAAAAAAACATTTTCTAATTTCTGAGAGGGATTAGGCCGCCGCCGCTGCTTTAGTACGTTTTGGCGGACTAACCAAGAAATATGTTATTCCTCAGGTTTCCTCACGATGTTTTCTTTCACCGCCGAGCACGGAGTATATCAGCACTTGAAATTTGAACTAACAATTTCATTGGTGACGAAGAGGATGGATCTCAGATTTCTTGAGTACTATATGATATAACTTTTAAAGGAACCATTATCCACTAATCTAAAAAGACTCAAAAGAAATTGAAATGTAATTCTTCTGCGGAAATATTGGCTGCGGTTGACATACAAACCAAGGTTCACCAATTTAGTACACAGATTCTTTGACTATTATAGGCCAAAAAGCTTTTTTTGGGAATAATATATTAATTACCTTATCCATCCCCTCGTAATCGGGGTCGGTGTGACTCTTCGGTATCCAAATCTTCACGTCCTTATCTAGACCACTCGTCGCCAGAACGGGGAAACGTGGATGTGCTTCTATACAATTTACCTTAAAGTAAGAAAAGTTCATGTGTTTAGTTTCTTTAAATATACACTAGTCACTTTAAAATAAGTACAGAAAGATAGTAAGAATATCCACTATCATACTTTTCTGTGGGTGTCGTAAGAGGCAAAAAAGGTAAACAAACCAGGAGATGGGCAGCCTTTCTCTAATCTGTACAAATAAATAAAATTGAAGTGTCTGTTTGTAATGTCAAAATTATTTTTTTATTTATACTCTTTATTGCACCCAAAATATTACACAACACAGCAAACTTAAATTTATAAACGAATGTACAACTAAGTGGCCTTATCGCTAGACAGCGATCTCTTCCAGGCAAACCTTGGTGAAGGAGATAATTTTCATTTAAATATATAGAAGTGTGCATAAATAGTAAATAAACAAGTATATATTAATAGTACAATGTATATATAGTATATAAGACAATGCAATAATCAAATAAATAGTATTATATATACAAATACACACAAACACACAAATACATATATACATATACACATATACCTACATATACATACATATTTATAAATACATATTTCTGTAATACATTATAACTATATATCATATACATAAACCTTATCAAGAAAAGTAGATATGACAATAAAATATATTACAGCTTTTTACTAAATGCATATGAAAGTATATACGGGACTAATAACAAAACTACAATTTTTAAAGATTTTTTTGTCTGTCTGTTTGTCTGTTTGTTCCGGCTAATCTCCGAAACGGCTGGACCGATTTTGACGGGATTTTCACTGGCAGATAGCTGAAGTCACAAGGAGTAACTTAGGCTACTTTTATTTTAAAAAAAAGGATTAGGGTTCCGCGCAAAAAAATTAAAATCCCAAATAAAACGCGGGCGAAGTCGCGGGGAAAGCTAGTAGCAAATATCACTCTAATAAGGCAATCTATAGCGGATCCCCCCTCTCATCATAGTATGATAAGAGAGCAGTGGGCGTTGTTTCTAATAGAATAAATGTGAATAACGAGCACACAGCCCATGTGATGGTAATTGACAGTCTGGTGCAACTTCCATAGTAAAAATTATATGTACTACAGGGGTCAAATTTTAATGACGGTTACTCTTCTTTATGCTTTTCGTGATATGTCTATTAACGACATTGTCAAATGAAATAGGTTCAAATGTCAAATTAAACAATTATATTTGTATATATTTTATTAATTAAGATTGCTTTTAATTTTGCTATAGGAGCCTTTGTTCATTTACAGATTGTTAAGAAATTAAATATGCATCATAAAACTTTGCAATTAAATGATGCAAGAAGCGGAAAAATGATAACAGGAAAATAACAATACTTCCCTTAGATGATGAAAGGTATGTGGTGATTTCAACTTTATTAGTAATATGATATTCAACGCGAGTATATTTTTGGACTATCCATCTATGTAGGACATGTTTTTATAGTATACGATTGTGTGCACAAATACAAACACACTAAATCTGATAGTTCGATGGTTTGGCAATCCGAAACGAACTATACTTAGAAACTGCAAGTCAATTCTGACTGCTAACATGCTATTTGTTCAATAATAATGTGCTTTTATTTATATTATTTTTCAGATGCAAGCAATGGGTGAAATAGCTGGCACATGCACCAATTGAAAAGATTCACATGTTAAGACATATTTGTGACAAACATTGCATATGAATCCAACTAAAACGAACTGTTATTTCTTTAGTGGACTTACTTTAAACTTCCACATTTTATGTGTATGTTAATTAGGTTTCATTTGCATATAGCAAAAGATAATATCCCTCTAAAGTCACATTTTGGCAAGAATTAGATTATATAACTAAATCATTATTTTATTCATCAATAAACATGAGTACTTATTTTGAAAGCAACAATTAGTAAACGATCTCTGCGAATAATATGTACGTAGGTGCCTCTGTGAAGAAGCCTAGCGATTTGTACATAGTATTTGTTACACATAAAAGCAATTTAATCCAATCAGTATTAAAAACCCAATATTTTTACCCTTAAAAAAACTAACGTTGAAAACAAGCATCCAGACGCAGACTATTTATTTTACAGCATAGCAACAATTGTTCAGTGCGGGAATGAAGCCTCGGTCCTGCAATGCCGCAGCCAAACGCTTAGCCACTGCGCTACGGAGTCGTCATTTATTTTTTACTTAATTAATTACTAGTATAAAAGTGCGTTTTTTATTTTATATTTTCTTTATACATACTTTTGTACCTAATTGTAGAGATATAAATACAAATAGCTGTGTGTAATACATTGATTTCTTATCCTCATCGGCATTTTTATTCAATCCACATGTTAAAAATTTTATTTCTCATAAATAATTCAGTAAAGAGATCTAACTTTTCTTATGTAAAAATATCGATAAACAATATATCGATAAAGGTTATATCGATAAAATTATTCGAGGATAGACATTTACAGCACCATTGTAATTCGTCAATGTTGTCAGCACTGTTTCTCAAAACTAAATGTCATATCTTGATGTTGGTAGAGTAACTTGGCGTAATTTCATAATAATAATAATACTAATATAATAATACTTTTTATTTCTCAAAAATTAATCATACATGTTTTTGAGACGCCCCAGAGAGTAATTTACATACTCGTATTGGGGATGCCTCGCTCTTCAACCCATTTTACAGTTTTTAAGACTTAAAAGTACTTACATAATTAATAAAGAAAAAGTTTATTACAAAAAAGAAAGTTAAGCTAAAGCTAAATAAACTTTAACTAGTGTGTGTGTGCGCGCGCGTGCGCGTGTGTGTGTGTGTGTGTGTGTGTGTGTGTGTGTGTGTGTGTGTGTGTGTGTGTGTGTGTGTGTGTGTGTGTGTGTGTGTGTGTGTGTGTGTGTGTGTGTGTGTGCGTGCGTGCGTGCAGGCGTGCGTGCGTGTGTGTGTGTGTGTGAATGTGAGAGAGTGAGAGTATGTAAGTGGACGTGTGTGTGTGTGTGTGTGTGTGTGCGTGCGTGTGTGTGTGTGTGTGCGTGCGTGTGTGTATTCCTCTACTAACCCTTAAGAATCCAATCTTGGAATCTGGGTAAGCCATTGTGCAGAGAGGTTGTCTAAGTGTGGGTATGTGTGTAAGCCTAATTTATGATGTATGGAACTTACACAATTGTATCTATGAGTTTCTCTGTTTCATCATAACTTAAATCTGATAAGAAATTTGTTAATATCCTTTTACATTCATATAACTTTTCAGGGTATATATTTAGTTTTCGATTTAAAGTATTATATAAGTAAGCAGACCGTGATGTCAGTTGACGACGAGCAAAGGCAGTACGTACTGCGCGAGATGGTGCAACTTTTTCCATACGTCTTTTATTGACGTTAACTTTATTGGGGTCAAAAGGTAGTTTTTGGTGAAGGTGAAGAAGAAGTTTCAAAATATATAATTTCCTAATCGATAAGAGTCCACACATTTTATAAAGTTCATGTGTTGAATATCTATATGGTTTAAAGTACATAACCTTCAAGAGTGACCTTTGACTTCTCTCTAAGTGAAGAAATTTGGTTTTAGTTGCACCACCCCACACAGGAATACAGTATGTAAGTATGGACTGTGCAAGGACAATGTAAATTTTGCTTAATAAAGTACTAGACATAACATACCTTAAATTTTTAAAGATCCAGATAAGCTTACGTATCCTGCCAATAATCGCTTCAAGTTGAGTATGCCAGGAGAGCCTTTGATCGACCATAATACCTAGGTATTTAATGCAGCTAACTTTTTCAATACTCGGGCATAAACAACTATGGTTATTGAGACTCGCACAGGTATGAACCTTGAGCCGAAACTTATCATCCGGTTGAGTTCTCTGATCGAGAGAAAAGCACATGTATTTAGTTTTTGTGGCGTTTAAGGTTAGTAGGTTAATGCTCAGCCAGTTAGCAATAACTGCTAAGCCCTTTTCAGAGACATTTTGCACTATTTCCCAAGAACTACCGGAGAAAACAACCGCAGTGTCGTCGGCGTATGAGAATGATGCAATTATTTTTACTATGGAAGTCCCGCCTCTTAAACGTAGTGATTATATTCTCTTTGGTAATTGATTGCTGTGGAACATAGACATCTACATCCATCTTCGATCAAGAATCAAAATGCAGATGCATTGTTACCCCTGAGCATTAAGACGGAATGCCTCGTTTCCAGTAAAGACGGTCTCCGCTTCTCTAAATTCACCACACGTAACACAGCAGCATTGAGTTGTTATTGTATGCTGGTATTCTATAAGAGCATAGTCCTACCGATCGGGCCGACCCATTCGTGCTACAACCATAATATATCTGCAATATGGCTCCTACCAGGTTCAAAAGAAGAAGCAGTCAGTTCTTATCAAGAAGTTGCTACAGACCATCTCCTTTGTTCGTTACCCTTTGTCGCCTCTTACGACGACACTCATGTTATGATATGCGGTAAGTCTGCAGTGGAAGTGAGCGTGTGTGTGTGCGTGTACACTCACCACGCCGTTGACGTCTGCGTGCAGCCACTGCACGAGCGCGGCGGTGTCGGTGTGCCACACGTACAGTGTGCGTGTGTGTGTGCGTGTACACTCACCACGCCGTTGACGTCTGCGTGCAGCCACTGCACGAGCGCGGCGGTGTCGGTGTGCCACACGTACAGTGTGCGTGTGTGTGTGCGTGTACACTCACCACGCCGTTGACGTCTGCGTGCAGCCACTGCACGAGCGCGGCGGTGTCGGTGTGCCACACGTACAGTGTGCGTGTGTGTGTGCGTGTACACTCACCACGCCGTTGACGTCTGCGTGCAGCCACTGCACGAGCGCGGCGGTGTCGGTGTGCCACACGTACAGTGTGCGTGTGTGTGTGCGTGTACACTCACCACGCCGTTGACGTCTGCGTGCAGCCACTGCACGAGCGCGGCGGTGTCGGTGTGCCACACGTACAGTGTGCGTGTGTGTGTGCGTGTACACTCACCACGCCGTTGACGTCTGCGTGCAGCCACTGCACGAGCGCGGCGGTGTCGGTGTGCCACACGTACAGTGTGCGTGTGTGTGTGCGTGTACACTCACCACGCCGTTGACGTCTGCGTGCAGCCACTGCACGAGCGCGGCGGTGTCGGTGTGCCACACGTACAGTGTGCGTGTGTGTGTGCGTGTACACTCACCACGCCGTTGACGTCTGCGTGCAGCCACTGCACGAGCGCGGCGGTGTCGGTGTGCCACACGTACAGTGTGCGTGTGTGTGTGCGTGTACACTCACCACGCCGTTGACGTCTGCGTGCAGCCACTGCACGAGCGCGGCGGTGTCGGTGTGCCACACGTACAGTGTGCGTGTGTGTGTGCGTGTACACTCACCACGCCGTTGACGTCTGCGTGCAGCCACTGCACGAGCGCGGCGGTGTCGGTGTGCCACACGTACAGTGTGCGTGTGTGTGTGCGTGTACACTCACCACGCCGTTGACGTCTGCGTGCAGCCACTGCACGAGCGCGGCGGTGTCGGTGTGCCACACGTACAGTGTGCGTGTGTGTGTGCGTGTACACTCACCACGCCGTTGACGTCTGCGTGCAGCCACTGCACGAGCGCGGCGGTGTCGGTGTGCCACACGTACAGTGGGCGTGTGTGTGTGCGTGTACACTCACCACGCCGTTGACGTCTCCGTGCAGCCACTGCACGAGCGCGGCGGTGTCGGTGTGCCACACGTACAGTGTGCGTGTGTGTGTGCGTGTACACTCACCACGCCGTTGACGTCTGCGTGCAGCCACTGCACGAGCGCGGCGGTGTCGGTGTGCCACACGTACAGTGTGCGTGTGTGTGTGCGTGTACACTCACCACGCCGTTGACGTCTGCGTGCAGCCACTGCACGAGCGCGGCGGTGTCGGTGTGCCACACGTACAGTGTGCGTGTGTGTGTGCGTGTACACTCACCACGCCGTTGACGTCTGCGTGCAGCCACTGCACGAGCGCGGCGGTGTCGGTGTGCCACACGTACAGTGTGCGTGTGTGTGTGCGTGTACACTCACCACGCCGTTGACGTCTGCGTGCAGCCACTGCACGAGCGCGGCGGTGTCGGTGTGCCACACGTACAGTGTGCGTGTGTGTGTGCGTGTACACTCACCACGCCGTTGACGTCTGCGTGCAGCCACTGCACGAGCGCGGCGGTGTCGGTGTGCCACACGTACAGTGTACGTGTGTGTGTGCGTGTACACTCACCACGCCGTTGACGTCTGCGTGCAGCCACTGCACGAGCGCGGCGGTGTCGGTGTGCCACACGTACAGTGTGCGTGTGTGTGTGCGTGTACACTCACCACGCCGTTGACGTCTGCGTGCAGCCACTGCACGAGCGCGGCGGTGTCGGTGTGCCACACGTACACATGCGCGCAGTCCGAGCCCGACACCACGTACTCGCTGCGCGGTCCGAAGAACGCCACACCCTTGAACGTGGCGCTGTTGCGATGTCCGCTATACCGCCGCCGGTACCCGTCGCTCTCCTCCTTCACATTGTCCCTGGAAACAAGGCGATACATATTACAAATCATAAATATTCCACACGTTTTCATATCTTTCCCTACACTACCTGCACTTCACAACTACTGTGTAGTGTGTAGGGTAGGAAAGGGAATCAAATTGATAAATTCTAAGAATAGAGTAATTAAATACCATTTCTACTGAGAACTATATTTGAGACTATTCGATGTACACATCGATCACTAATAAAAAACTAGATGCACAATTCCATACAAAAGTTCTCTAAAAACTGTCGCCAAATGTTTTGACGTAATTCTAGTTGATATAAACATACATTAATGTAAATTCAACCTTAAATGCATTGCATAAAGTTGTATTGAAAAAGCTACGTACAAAAAGTAATAAAATTTTACGACCGAGGCTCGTCGCTTGGACAAGGATAGTAGAGTCGAACTGCAAAATATTTTTTGTTACTGTCATTTTAATTTTATAAGTTTGTTAAATTTGTTTTAAATAATTGGTCTACTTAATAAAGAATATTTTATTCTATTCTATGGTGTATATGTGTAATGGTTATATTATTACCTGAATGTAAATATGCTTTTGGAGAGGGCACTACATTAATTTAGTAATGAAAGTAATTGAAACAGTCATAATTATTTATTTATTCTTTATCTTGTGTAAAAAAATTAAAGAATTTTTTGACAAACAACTAAAATCTAAATATAATAGTACCTAAATATAAAAAATAAGTACAGAAATATCTTGCAAAATCTAAGAATATTATTGTCCAAATTTTTGATGTTATTTTCATATTTACAGATGTTTAAAAAACGGATAAGACTGAATAATTATAATGATTTCTTATATTTAGGCGTTCATTACACATTTAAGTAAAACTAGTTTTACCGCGTATATTAACTTATTTTATATTCCCCACGTTTCGAGTACTATAATATTTAGAGAAATAGTAAAGAACTCTTATTAAACAGAAGAAAGACCATCATACTTTAATAATAATAAAAATATAAAAAAAAACAATAGCGTCTCCACAAATGGAACAGAATCAACGCATATACCTCGAACAATGACGACTCATTTTATTACGACTTAATTTAAAAAATACTTTTACGATGATTTCTTGACAAAATATCAGTATTTAAAATACAGTGATAAAAATTAAATAATGTTAATATTAATAGTTACCGAAAATATGAAAATCAATCCTTTTTTAACGTCCTGGATGTGTGATCTTTACACTTTTTAAACGAGCACTGAGGCATGTTTACCGTTGGAGCATTCGAATGCTACTAGATTAAAAGTGCACCCATATGTTCGAGTGGGTGCACATTCGGTTACGCCACTTTTTGTCACTGATTGTGTATCTAGTTTTTTATTAGTGATCGATGGATGTACATAATTCGAAGCTTTATCGGGTTGTTCGTTATTCGTTTATCCACCCTGAAAAACCACCCTAGGGTGGACACTAGGAAACGCGTGTTCATCTATCCATCCCAGACGGGGTGGATAATCGGAATTCGTATATTATTTTTCTTCCGAGTTTCTCCCTCCACTGTGTACAGTTATTTATAGAAACATGATAAAACTGGCCCCAAGATTTTAAGTAGTCTTCTTTGGAAGGTCAACGCTGAATAAAAGGAAGGCCTAACATGATTACAGATTCATTTAAATCTTGGCATAAAACTATTTAAAATGAAGTTAAAGACAAACATCCGAAAGTAATGTTTTTGGAAAGCTTGCAAAAACACCGAGTTTTTCACTAACACATCTGTTGTAGCAAAGAAATTTAGAAAAAGATTACAAATGTATATTAAAAGTGACGAATTTTATTAAATTAAGTCTACTCAATAATGAAATTAGTGTTATAATTTCCTGGACATATTGCCTGGCATAAATCACCTAATAATATTATTTAAAACGAGGAAGTTCAATTTGATGTTGACTTTAATAGGCTGTAGCGATAACGGTAACAGCAATACGTAATATGATTTTAAGTTTGTGGTTATTAAAATTTTATTAATAATTAAAATGTATGAGTTGAACTGTACTTGGGGTGAAAAGTTGGAAGAACAAATAAAAGTGAATTCTGATTATCTATCCCGTCTAGGGTGAATAGATGAACACTCGCTTCCGAGTATCCACCCTAGGGTTGACTTTTTTAGGGTGGATAAACGGAATAACCCGGTTTATCCATATATGAATTATAATAATATCATACCAATATCATAACTTGAAGCCAAAGCGCCGGCAAAATTCCGCTCAAGACAATAACTGCTCGGGGCAAGTGGAGCAACAAGGCCAAGGCGATCCCTGTCACGCTATTCGTGAATTTCTGCAACATCATGGGTAATCACTCGAACCTAAACGCCGTCCACTACCATCTCAGAATTTGACTGATTAAAGTAATTTCGTTTGCAAGTAATTACGTCAATTGTATAGTGATTGTATAGTGATTGCATGTTGAAGTGCATTTTGCAATATTTAACCTGCTTGTTTGACGTGGAACCTTGCGCGCACGCCGAGGGGACATACGGTCTGGAATTTGATGCTCGCATTCCATTTCGAGGGCGTGGCCCGGTTAATTGTTTTTGGAAGTTAATGTTGATTTGTAACGTCGCGTTAAGTGCCTTTTGTGTGTCGACTGTTTTCTATCGTTTTACGTGTCAACGAGGCGAATTTTGAGTTCTGATTGCGGGCGTGGTATGTAATATCGTACGAAGGAATTTAGTTTGTTGTTTGGAACGCTGAACTTTGTGACACGAGAAGAGATCGCGTTCGTTACCTGTTTGTAATTTGGTGCGAAATGAACCCGGAACATTGAATATTGAACTTTGAACGACTGTTCGTTACTTGTGTCGGGTGTCACGTGTTTGATTCTGATGAACGTTGAATTTAGTTGGGTTAGAAGTTAATTAAATGTACAATAAAGTTGATGGATTGAAATAGTGTACAATAAAGTTGATAAACTGAAATAGTGAAATGAAGGCAGAAATTTTCCATGGGTGATCCACGACTGGAGGGAGCGCGCATTGGGAGAACATCAGCTCCGGTGGATTTTCTGTCCGATTAAATCGGGCCGTCAGGTCACATATATAAACACTACTACACACTACTCACATGCACCTACTTAACGCCTGACCGCGCCTTGGGGTCGGTTCTCGGTTCGGAACCAGGTAAGTTCTTATTAATTGCCTAGCCTTATATCTATTGTGTAGAATAATAAGTCTCCATAGGCCGTAGGGCCCCGTCCTCTGCTGACCGTCGATTGGACTACTGATGGGCCCTAGTCCAGTCTACTTTGTTGGGGCAACTCGGGGCGTGTACAGATAGACTCAGCGACCACGTCCAAATGGCTACAGATTCCTTGCTATAACAGATCTCATTCGTAGAGATCGTGATCCTCGGTGATTGTAACGCCCACCACGCCGAATAGCTCGGTTCACGTTTAACCGATCATGCGGGGAGATCTGTTCGTGATTTTGCCTTGGCATATTGTCTGACGCAACTCTGGTCCGATTCCAGATGTAGAGGATCATGCACCTTCGCTGTTGGACCTTCTGCTGACCTCTCATCCGGATAGATATCAGGTCCCCGTCGAGCCCCTCTTGGCTCCTTAGAACATTGTCTAGTCTGGAGTGTGGTGCCACTCACACCAACATCGCAGTTGCATTCTGCAGGCTGCCGCCGTGTTTGGCACTATAGGTCAGCCGATTGGGATAGGTTGCAGTCTTTTTTTGCATCCTACCCTTGGGGGTGAGTTTGATTCTCGCCGGAAGATCCTAACGTTGTTACTAATTCTGTCGATGACGTGGTAGTTCAGGCTATGGAACCTTTTATTCCTTCCTCCGTGGTGCCCATCGGATCGGCAATCTCAGCCATGATTTGGTCGCTTCTGTAAAATAGCATCACGCTATAAGCAGGAGTGCTACCGGGCCCGGGCTGACGCATCAACGTCCCGGGATGTAAACACTAGCGCCCTTAAAAATAAGTATAATTCCGCCTCCCTTTTTGTGAATACTTGTTGAAATAGGTTTTGTTTAGTGTTTAGTACATTTAATTGTAGGATAAAATAGTTGAATTTTTTTTTATGTAATTTAAAATAATATACATATATAAGTATATTACCCATTGACCTACTGTAGTAGGTCAATTATATTAGCTATCTAAAACCACAGAATAAATAATAATACAAGAACAGAAGGATCACTCTCTGATAGCAAGCTTGCGAGTTTAAGCCTAGTTACAACGTAGCTAATGTCCATAAATACTTTGCACGCTTGTGCAAAGTATTTATGGATATTAGCTACGCACGGGGCCACGCAGTGTAGGTATATTTTTATGCCTAAAGCGCGGAGGCCTGCTGAAACGTCGTTGATATTACAAATGTTGCGTGGATGGATGCTTAATGAGCAAACAAAATGGTTCAAATATTTTAAGTTACTGAAGGATAATGAAAGGTGAATTTATTTCTTTTTTTTTTCGGGTTTATTTGTGTTCACACTATCTACTTATTTCTTCCGAGCCCAGCATCGCGAAATTATCTCGAAGTTACATGGTATGATCTTATTACAATCCTTATATGGATAAAGCCTCTAGTTACATCGAGTAAAGAAGTCTCAGATATAGTTATCAGTAGAAATGGTATTTAATTACAGTATTCTTAGAATTTATTAATTTGATTCCTTACCTACCTATCTAAACATTACAGGTAGCACCCAGCCCATTTCTCTATTGAAATTAGGATGTTTTTTGTTTTCAATAGCCTCGCGAATCAGTTTTTGAAGGACTCTGTGTTCTTTAGCGTGCATTTGTGGTCTATCAAATATAATGTAGTGGTGGGGTCGATCCTGTATGTGTTGCCCCATCAGTCCCCCCCCCCCCCCCGGGACCTTGAGGTATGTAAAGTGCTCGAAACGTCGGGAATATAAAATAATAAATAAGCTAATATACGAGATCAAATGTGTATAAAACTAGTTTTATTTAAAAGCGATACAATGTTGGCATTTGGCAACATGGCGGAAATAGTGTAAAATTGCTGCGTGAAATTTAAATTACACGTTAGGCGAGTGCAGATGCTGACTCTGGGGAAACAAGAAATGAACCGGGGAGAAACAATTTCTCAATTTCTTTCTCAATTAATTTCGAAATTATACCTACTTACATACCTATACTTGTCTTTTGTAATTAAAATATTTTAAGTTATAATAACACATAATACTGAAATTAAAACTTTGTTTACAAGATTTTAAGTAAGTAGAATACAATCACATTTCTGTTAGGAATCGTACTTCGGGTTTATTTGTTGTGTTGTGTTTGTAGTACTATTATTTATTCTGTGGTTCTACTGCGGATAATTACGAAGTACGTACGAACTTACTATTAACAACCACATTTTTAAAAGTTTGCTCAGACTAAACTGACTTCAAATTAGGTCATTGTACCCAGTGGCCTAACAGGACAAAACTCTTTATAATAAGAATTCCTTTTCTCAATGTGTAACATCTAAAGCAAGGGAATACTTTATAGTGTTTTGTGCAAAACCTGCATGGAGCATGAGGGAACACCAGCCCAGATTTCATTTCCAATAACCAGACCGAGATTTACTGATGTCGCTCCCTGAGGTTTTCGGTAATATTAAAAACTTGCTAAGATTCCTCGAGGAGCTTGGGTGACACGATTGACACGAATAATATAATTACAGCCCACACACAAAATCTGCGCTAAGACGTGGAAATACGGATACAAAACGCGACTCAATCAATCAAACCTATTTTCCTGAATTAATTTTCAAACCAATACTAATTATTTTAATTAGTCTTTTTAGTTACTTTTCAAACTATTGTACACATTGAACGCGACGCATGTAGTTACTCTAGTGTCACCAAATCAAAAAATCGCGATCCATTCAACTTAAATCACTTCCACCACTTTTATAGTACACTTATATAATTTAAAAAAAAGTAAAACTTCTGAGGTTATAAGATTATTTATTTCGATTATTATTTAAAAAAAAAAGTTAATTGAAAATAATTACACTTGGACGTCAGTTGGTCGGTATGGATGTGAACAAGATATCTTTCGAAAAACTTTTGAATTTCACTATTGTAAACCGTCCTGTTCATTAATATTTTTTTTTTATTAATTTATTAATTATTTGACAATTCTTTTAAATGAGCGTTCGAATAGTGCACTTTTGGATTTTTCAAATATATTTCAAAATTACGTCATGGAGTACGCAGAAGTGTGAAGAATATTAAGGCATTTGTACGCGTTAATATAACCGATAGTATTAAGTGTGCACTTAAGTGTAACCTAGACAATAAAAGTTGTTTTAACCAACTAATCGTCTCTAAATTTGGTTACTTTCGATTGTTATTCGTAATGAACTTGCTTAATAGTAAATGGTACTACTACTTACTTGTCGTACACGTCGAGCTTTGTGTCGAACAGGTATATGTCTTCGTCGTTGTACGAGCCCAGTATTTGTGATCCGTCGTGATTGTACACCGCGCACGTCAAGTGTATCATTGACATGCGTAGCCTCTTATTTTGCGTGGGGTCCTGGGAAAAAGAAAAAAATTATACATTTTAAGTGCCAGTAGAGTCTATAAAAAAAGAACTACTATCGGACGGGAAATAATAGCTCGTACAGCGGGTGTCCCGTCACGATGAACGTGCACGTGCGGTGCGTGTGTGTGTGTGTGCGTGTGCGTGTGTGTGTGTGTGTGTGTGTGTGTGTGTGTGTGTGTGTGTGTTTTGTTGAAATGAAACTTCTTTAGTATCGTTGTGATTCGAAACGCGATGAAACGAAAAAGCGACAAACATACATCTATATTATTTAGCTGCGAAAGAATGAGATTAGAATGTATACTATTATAATAAAGCCAAAGAGGTTTTTTTGTTTGTTTAAACACACTTATCTCTGGAACTACCAGTACGATTTGATAAATTATTTTTGTGTATGATAGTCAGATTCATGAGGCTCTAGCACTAGGCTCAGTTAGCCTTAAATATTGAGTATTGTTAAGCGAGTCGGAAGAAAAAGTCCTTAAGAACTGCTTTATCCGCCTGCGCTGGCTTAATAGTTAGTGTTACTTAAATACAATATTCTTCAATAATATACATCTTTCCTCCATATAAAAAAAGTCTGCGATACCATAGGCCTATTTCTTATACGTAAGTCACAAACGGTATTTTGTGACAAATAAAATTTTGAAAATTAAAAATTGATTTATGAACGTTATTAGGCATGGCATATTAGTCTTTCCAAACGAAAGTTATTTCATCATCAAGACAATTATATGAGGATAAATTTTGCTCTTTTTATAGCATGTTATTTGGACGCATAGTATATGAAATAATTAAAAATTACAATAATTCAACACTGCTCGGCGTGTCGCCTAGCCACTCGATGAGAATTGAAACTAGCAGTGAACGCCTCTATATGCGAGGTGTCATGTCGCGCGGCTCATTCACGCGATATACGCGGGTGAAACAGTGGGGCACAGTTAGCACAGTATAAAGTCTTTCATATTATCTCGGTCTCCACTGTGTGCGCTTGCTTTAAAGATGGTTATAATATAACTAAAAAAATTACAAATTTATCAAATAAATAAAATTAATTATATTGAATAAAATTATAACCCGCGTGTGTACGTGTGCATGTGTGTGTACGTATGGATGAGAGTACGTACGTGTATACGTGTGTGTGTGTGTGTATGTGTGTGTGTGTGTGTGTGCGCGCACGTACGTACGTACGTACCAGCGCGAAGTGGTGGGGGCAGTAGAGCGCGAGCGGGCGCGCGGGCTGGCGGCGGTCGTACTCGCGCAGGAAGCGGTCGCGGCCCGCCACCAGCAGGCGCTCGTGCAGCGCGTGCCCCGCCACGCTGTACAGCGGCACCGCCGCGTTGCCCTCGCGCACCTGCACCAGCCTGTAACACGTGCCCACACCCCACCCCACGTTTTACACTCTCTTAGGACTTACAACCCCTCCACTATTGTAACGTTAACACATATTGTAATGTAAAAACGCCAAACGTAAAAAAAAAATTTTGTTTAAAAATCTGGCAACACCGTCATCGGTAATCATATTTTAGATACTTACAACGGATTTAGTTATAGTTAGTAAATTTATAATTTAAAATAAATATTCTTAAACAAATATATGTGGTTATACAAATATAAAATAATTCAAATATTAAAATATAAAATATTCAATTCAAGAATAGATTAAAATACAATTATGCAACGTTTAAATTTTTTTATAGTTGTTTCTAACGAACGTACGAAAACTGATGACTAAAACCAAAAGTCAACAGAGTTCAAAGTGTCTCTTAAACCCCCACACATAGTACCGATATAGGGTGCGGATTATATCAGTATACTACTTTTATGTGTCGTGTTAGTGACAGCAGCACATGCAAGTTGGAGGAGGGATTTGTATGTGTGTTACATGCAGGATGGAGAAGTGTGTGTGTGTGCATGTCACGTGCTGGATGGAAGAGAGGGTGTGTTTGTACGTCAGATGTGGAGGTGTGTGTGCGTCACGTACGGGTTGGAGAAATAAGTTGTTGGGTGTGTGTGTCACGTGTGGAATGGATGAAGGAGACGCGTGTGTTCGTGTCACGCGCAGGATGGATGAGGCAATGTGTGTGCGCGTAACGTGCGGCGTGCGGAAGTGTTTGCTTGTGTGTCAGGTGCGTGATGAAAGAGAGGGTGTACCTGGAGGCGCGCTCGGCGCGCACGTCGGCGAGCACGACGAGCCCGTCCTCGCCGGCGGACATGACCTCGTGCGGCGCGCGCGCGCTCACGTGCAGCTTGTGCGCGGCGCGCGCGTGCGACGCCAGGCGCCGCCGCACCACGCCCCCGCCACCCCCGCCCCCGCTCGGCGCGCACTGCACCAGCCGCACCTACACCACCCGCACGCTCATCATTACAACCCACTAGGCACGACTCAATCGTGAACGATTCGGTCTTTTGAACCGGGTCGCGTAAATGTATTGATGATTGCAATCATATTTTTCCAACGATCCGGAATCAAATGATTGACAGAACCTTTTATAACCTGTGCGCGTATTATTTAATTTTTTTCTACTTATAATTCAAAACAATTTTGATAATCACTTTGAGCAAGGGTGTTTGGCGCATGGAACGACACAATTTTTCCAGGGGTTTGGGAGGTCATTTGCTAGGTTCTACCCATACACCCTTTGTCCCAAATGTCACGGTTGGTTACATATGATATTTTTAAAACGAAAAAAAATACCTAAAATGTTTCTTTTATAATTCGAAATAATTTTTTTGTTTGTGGGTGTAATAGCACAAAATAAATTTTGTTGTATTCTCCAAAGCCATTTAAATCTAAATAAATAGCTCTTTGTTTGATACAACTGGTTTCAAGAAAAGTCCTTACAAGCTTACAAAGTTTAATTTTTTATTTAATAATATAATAATAATATATAACTTACCGTGTAGTGGCGGTTAAGAATATCCACTACCCCATATCTTCCCGTGGGTGTCGTAAAAGGCGACAAAGGGAAACAGGCAGGAGATGGGCAGCAGCATCTTCCTGATAATAGCCAAATAACAATAAAAAAACTGCGGTTGCCAACCCGCTCGCCAAGCGTGGCAACTATGGCAATATACCCCCCATGAGCAATGACAATAATAAACGGCCCCCAGTCCCCGGCGGCCCTGCTATTCCTGGCTACGGTGGCGACCATGGTAACGGCGGGGCAGGGGGTGCTAAGTATCTCCGGTGGAGGTTCGGTTGCCACCTACGACGACTCGACCTGGCAACATACAACGCACGCACCCTGAGGACTGACGAGAAGATTGTGGAGCTGGAAGAAGAGATAGACAAGTTACGCTGGCATATTATAGGATTATCCGAAATCCGAAGAGAGGGGGAGGACACGGTAATCCTCGAATCCGGCAACTTGCTCTATTACCGGGAGGGCGACCATCTGTCCCAAGGAGGTGTCGGATTTATCGTCCACAAGTCTCTCGTTAACAACGTTGTAAAGATTGAGAGTGTGTCGACGAGGGTTGCGTACCTTATACTCAGAATCACCAAACGGTATTCGCTGAAGGTCATACAGGTTTACGCACCAACCTCGGCACACCCCGATCAGGAGGTGGAGGAAATGTATGAGGATATCTCTAGAGCCATACATTCCTCCAAAACCCAATATACGGTGTTAATGGGAGACTTCAATGCAAAACTAGGCACAAGAGAGAACGGCGAGCTGAAAGTAGGGAAATTTGGAATAGGGCAACGGAACCCAAGGGGCCAGCAGTTGGCTGACTTCATGGAGAAAGAGGGACTCTTTATGATGAACTCTTTCTTCCAGAAGCGGCCCCACAGGAAGTGGACCTGGTCGAGCCCCGACGGTTCGACAAAAAATGAGATTGACTTCATTATGACGACCAGACGACAACTGTTCAGTGATGTCTCAGTGATCGCGAGGGTGAAAACCGGTAGCGATCACCGAATGGTTAGAGGCACACTGAACCTAAACGTTAAGTTGGAGAGGTCTCGTCTAATGAAGTCAACGCTCCGTCCCCCTCGTGCTCTAATCCAAAGTCCCGAAACCTTTCAGCTCGAGTTTCAAAACCGTTTTCAGTGCCTAGAAGACTGCAATGAAGTGGACGATTTGAATGACAAGCTCGTGGAAACTGTCCATGCGGTCGGAGCTAAGTTCTGCAAGACCCGCCGCAGAAGAACACAAAAACTCTCCGATCACACTCTTAATCTCATGGTTGTTAGACGGGAGATGAAGCTACATTCTTCAACAGATTTAACAGCATACAGGCAACTGAACAGACAGATCTCCAAATGCATGCGGCGGGACTTACGCAAATTCAATACAGCTCGTATTGAAGAAGCGATCGAGCGGAACCAAGGCTCCAAAGTCTTTGCCAGAGATCTGTCTGCCAGAAAGCGCCAACTGTCAAAGCTGAAGACAGAGTGTGGCAGCATCGTTTCCGGGGCACCTGAGATTTTGAGTGAGATTGAGAGGTTCTATGGGCAGCTGTACACGTCATCGTTGGAGCCGCACGCAAGTGTGAGTAACGATCCAAGAGCGAGTCTTATCCGACATTATTCCGATGATATCCCGGACGTCAGTCTGAGCGAGATTAGAATGGCTCTCCAGCACCTTAAAAACGGCAAGGCCCCAGGCGAGGATGGAATTACAGCGGAGCTTCTGAAAGCGGGTGGAAAACCGGTACTTGAAGTCCTTCAGAAACTCTTTGATTCCGTCCTCCATGGTGGCATTACACCGGAGGCGTGGAGCAGAAGTGCGGTGGTCTTGTTCTTCAAGAAAGGCGACAACGCTCTCTTGAAGAACTACAGACCGATTTCCCTTCTGAGCCGCGTCTACGTGCTGTTTTCGAGAGTCATTACGAATCGTCTCGCGCGCAGACTTGACGACTTCCAGCCTCCCGAACAAGCCGGTTTCCGAAAAGGCTTTAGCACCATAGACCACATACATACCCTTCGGCAAATTGTACAGAAGTCCGAGGAGTACAATTTGCCACTATGTCTGGCGTATGTGGACTATGAGAAAGCCTTTGATTCCGTCGAAATTTGGGCGGTGCTGCAGTCCCTTCAGCGATGCCAAGTTGACTGTCGGTATATCGAAGTGTTGAACGGTACGGTATCAACATCAATGGCGAGTACATCACTCACCTTCGATTTGCCGACGATATAGTCCTTATGGCAGAATCGCTGGAGGACCTAAGCACTATGCTCAATGACCTCAATAGTGTTTCCCAACGGATAGGTCTTAAGATGAACATGGACAAAACAAAGATCATGTTTAATGTCCATGTCACACCTATGCCGGTAGTTGTTGGGAACACTAAGCTCGAAGTTGTTGACGAGTATGTTTACCTGGGACAAATAGTCCGACTAGGTAAGTCCAACTTCGACCGAGAGGTCAATCGACGGATTCAACTCGGTTGGGCAGCGTTCGGGAAATTACGGCACATCTTCTCGTCAGGTATACCTCAAAACTTGAAAACGAGACTGTACACCCAGTGCGTGTTGCCAGTGATGACATACGGAACTGAGACGTGGTCCTTCACTGCTGGCCGGATGAGGAAGCTCAAGGTCGCTCAGCGAGCTATGGAGAGGGCTATGCTCGGAGTTTCTCTGCGTGATAAACTCAGAAATGAGGATATCCGCAGTAGAACTAGAGTGACCGACATAGCCCAACGGATTAGTAAGCTGAAGTGGCAATGGGCCGGCCATATAGCTCGAAGAACCGACAACCGATGGGGAAGAAAGGTTCTCGAGTGGCAGCCTCGTACCGGCAGGCGAAGTGTAGGGCGTCCCCCCACTAGATTGAGTGACGACCTGGTAAGATATGCAGGAAGTCGATGGATGCAGGTGGCTCAGGACCGTGCTTTGTGGCATTCTTTGGGGGAGGCCTATGTTCAGCAGTGGACTTGTGAAGGGCTGTAATGATGATGATGATGAATATATAATAATATTCCACAACTATCACACAACGCCATCTAGTCCCAAGCTAAGCAGAGCTTGTGTTATGGGTACTAGACAACTGATAAACATACTTATATATTTCTAAATACATAAATATTATAGATAAATTACACCCAGACGTAGAACAAATGATCGTGCTCATCACACAAACATTTGTCCTGGGTGGGAATCGAACCCACGACCTCCGGCGTAGCAGTCAGGGTTACTAACCACTAGACCAACAGGCCTGTCGATTTAACGTATGAAATTTTAAAAATTCCTAAATTCATTATAAAAAAGTTCTTACGATATGCTACATGTCTTAGAATTTATTCATTATGTAGTCAAAGTACCGGTTAGGCGAGTCAGGGTTAAGAAAAAACTTGTTAAGGTTATTATGTTTTTATTAAACTAAAGTTATAAAAATGGAGGCTAAACACCAGGTGAGATGGAAAGGAATGGGGAGGCCTTTGTCTAGCAATGGGACAGAATAGAATAGTTAAAAAAAGTTATAAATCTTGTTCAAACTGACCTCCTCAATTCCGTATGCATGTACGATATTTGTTTCTTATTTCAACTGTCGTTGTAAGTAGTCGCATTTCTTCTTTCATAGTTTAGAACGCGCCGGTTATTCGTTCAATCAGAACTTCCCTAGTGGGCACTTCTGTCTGGTAAACCAATACTTTAGCACGTTCCCAGACGTAAAAATCCAGAGGCGTCAGGTCTGAGGACCGTGCGGGCCAAGGAATAGGGCCGCCTCTACCAATCCATGCGTTTGGAAAGACATTATTTAAATGCTCTCGCACGTTCAGTTGGTAGTGTGCCGGACAGCCGTCATTTGGGAAAACTAACGCTAACGGCTGCTGCGGTTTATTTATTCACAGCATACCGCTACTACGTGAATGTGTATAAGAAAAGAGTGAAAAAACAATATACAAAAATAAATTTTATTTCTCGTGTTCCACAAATAATATTCGGCTTGGTAGAGATCTATAAAGCGAAAAGTTTTTTCATTGGTCATTGTTACTGCCATTTTGTAGACACTAGATACGATGCGTGAATATAAAATTTAAATCAGGTGCCTGCGATCACTGAGGGAGCTCGTAACAAACTAAACATGCGCCCAACGTGTGGACGCGGTGGCCAATACTCTGCCACAAGCCTTTGATCTTTTGTAAAAAACCGACACAACACGAATATCGCGCCAAATTGTGGGCCATCAATCCAAAACATAGCAAGTGAAGCACAAACTCAAACCCAAGTGTAAACGCTTGTGTACAAGTTTAAGTTTGAGATAACCATGGGAACAACTTACAATTCTCAATGCTTAAATGTACGGATCACTAGAAATTAACGATTGACTCATTTCTACAGCCCACCAAATATACCGTTAAAAGCGAAGATAAAAGCGCCAACTGATTT